ATAAGTATGATAATTAAAATCTAAAATGTGAAATAAAATAATTTAAGATGAACTAGACAGCGCTATTAATAGTTGAAGTTCGTATTTAAACATAATAAGAATAGGCGTGTTGCATGAGAAAGTTGGTATAGGTTATCTTGATAACCGGCGAACACATTGAGCTGTCTCTTGGTTTATAAGGGTTTCTCGACGTGCTCTTTCTTTTTGTCTCTAGAAAGTTTTCTCCAAAACGCTCGCAAGTTAGGTTTCCAGAAAACCGCGGTTTTTCAGCTGTAGGTGTTGAAAAAACTGAGTTTTTATAAAAATCTAGAGTTTGAAAAAACTTTCTAATTTGATATTCAGATTCAGCGCTAAAAGATGAACATTTTGAAAAAAAAATTAAGTCTTTAAAAGAAAGTTTTAGTTTTGATATGGAATGCCCAATTTTTGGAAGTTGCATTTTTTTTTCTTGTGAAATAACTCAACACAGGTAGATGATACAAAGCTGATTCAAGTGTCATTTGATAGAGAATTGAAAGCTGAACAAACGTAGGGGTTTGGCAATTTTCATATACTACGTGATCTTGGTTTTCTAGAAGATCTTCAGAAAACCTCTCTCTATTTTAACGTTTTTTCTATTCTTTTGAGTTACAAACTTCATTATTGTAAGTTGTATGGCTTCATAAGTTAGAAATCGATTAAAATATCAAAGTTAAATAGTCAAAATATTTCTAACATTCAATGAAGGTACTCGAATTCATCATTTTCATGTACCATAGGCTTACGAACACATGTCTCTCTTTTTTTATCTCCATAGGGGATGTCTAGACGATGTCTAGACGGCGTCTAGAAACGCAGACGTCTCTCAGACATAAAGAAGAGATAGAGAGGAGAGAGAAGCATGTGTGATATCTGGTGTCCGACATCAGCACATTTTTTTTCTACATAGTAGGCCAGCCATTCTGTCTTATTTCGTCTATATCATTCATTTCCAAGTTGTGTATTGAGAAAAACATGTCTGATTTACGCTCATTACCGAAGTTCAGCTTCGGTGATATTGAAAAATATATCAGAGACAATCTTGATCAAATTTGTGGTGGTACAGCTGACAAACATATGAAGAATTCGATGGTGAATGAAAAATCTTACGCATTACATTCCGAAAAGGGACATATTTTGAGAATCATTATCAAAACTGATGGTTCTACAGCTGATATTACGTCGAATGTTAAACACAGTATGGCAAAACAAAGCGCATGTTGCGTTAAAATTAATTTTGCCGATTTAAATAAACCTGGTTAGTGTAATTTTATACTTTTACCTGGAAGATTTGTAATGAAATCTTCTTTTCTTGAAGGTTTATCAAGTGTCATCGCACAATGTGACTGTAAATATGGGAACTCTGGCTTCTGCAGCCATGTATGTTCCATTTTATATCGATTGGCGTCATATCAACTTCGAAAACTTGATTTTTTGCCTGATGAAGATTTTTCCTCAACGATCGGTGCATGCTCATGGAGGGCACCAAAACCAAATAACATGGGCAATATGTCAGCAACGGAAATGAATTGGACTGTCCATCATCGAACTTTGAGCAAATCAACTATTCCTTCATCGAACATTACTTCGAAAGTACCTCTTTATCAGGCCTGTGCGCCAGATCTTCGTTCCCCACCTGAATTAAACATTTTAAAGCAATTAAAAATTAGTTGTGACTCACTTAATCTTCCATTTTCTACTCTTCTTGATCATGCCATCGAACAACAACAGCCTCTTACAACAATCAACACTAATTTTGGACCGACGTATTCGATCAGCTCGTTAGCTATACATCAACATGAACATACAGATACAGAGGTTCTTTTTTTTTATTGCAGACTGTAATCAAACTAGTTACCACAAAGATAATAAAAACTATCCTTCATTTCCATTGAAACCCATGCCATCATTAAATGAATTAAAACTTTCAAATGATGATGTGTGGTGGACAATGGATATTGTGGTAAGCTATGTTGATTCAGTTGCCTTAGAGGCAAATACAACAGGACAAAGAAGCAGTCAGCAGTGGCGTGATGCACATACAAAACGTATTTCAGCTTCACAAGTGGGCTCTATTTTGAATCGTGTCCGCGCACCTACTAATTGCTTCGTACGAAATTTATTTAACTCCTTCAATGATTCTAAAATTTCTACTATTCCTCGTTCAGTACATCATGGAATTGAAAATGAATCAAAAGCTTTAAACGAATATAAAAAAGCCATGATGTCCAACGGTTATCAAGTAGAGCTTTTTGCCTCTGGCTTCGTCACACAACCAGACTATTTTTGGCTAGGGCAACACCAGATGCCAAAGTCCGTTGTTGTGAAGGAGACAAGATCACTTTCGGCATCGCAGAAGTTAAATGTCCCTATTCTGCTCACTTTCTTAAACCAAGTCAAGCAGTTGTTTTAAAAAATTTCTTCACAGAAAATGATAGTGGATTTCCAAAATTAAAAAAAATCATGCTTATTTTCATCAGGTCCAAACACAACTTTTTTTGACTCAATCACCCTGGTGTAATTTTATTGTTTTTACATTCAAAGGTTTAAGCATAGAGAGAATCTTTCCTTGCAAAAATTGGGTTTTGAAAAATATTCCTTTTTTAAAAAATTTCTATCAAAACTATGCTATTCCTTTTTTCAATGATGTTCCAGGAGACGCTCCTGTGTTTGAGCAATCTAGTTCAGAAGACGAAAAGGAAAATATTTGTGTTGATGTATCTTTTTGTAATGAAGACGATGATGAAGATTTTGTTTAAGTCTTTTTTCAATGTACTTCTATTTTTCTGTTTTTATTTTTTCATTTTTGTCTCTATACATAAAATTTGAAGAAAACGCACAAATAAAAACAATTTGATTTATACTAGAAAATAACTGATAAGGAATAGGTGTTGATAGAATACGAAAAATATGCATTCTACCTATAGCGTGTTCTACTCGTATACGTACACTAGAAATTTTCATATTGTTTCCAATAGCAGTTGAACCATATTGTCCTGATTGATCCAAGAACGATGGAATAATGAATTTCCAATTTTTTTCTTTTTCAATATCTTGAAGGTGAAAACCTTTATCGGCCATTATTTCTGCACCTGGTGGATAATTTAATTTTGTTAAACCAGATCGTATTGATAATTCTTTGTCAGATATTGCTCCGGAGAATAATTCTGAGAAAAAGACGATTGGAAAATCAGTTGTTGGTGCAATACCTATAAGTCCTTTCATGACATTTCCGCCATAATATTCATTATATGTTATCGATTGTGCCGTTAAATTCTTTGGTCTCGGAATATAAACTGGAAAGCTATCAATGATCAACACACATTTTGGAAACGAACTGAATGAAGGGTGTAAATGTTGTTGTACGTATTCAGCACTTAAAAACATTGGCATTTTTGCAAATCTTACGTACAAAAAGTTGATCCATCGATCAAATATTCTAAAACATTTACAAAATGAACATTAATAGCCACAGTGTTTCATAAATTCAGTGAAATTATTCTACCTGGACACAGTCGATGCGCTTATGGTAAATCTTTTAGCTAGATCCAGAAATGGAAAATTCTGTCGTAGTTTCATGAAAACCATTAAAAATTGTTGACTTTCGTTCAAGATACAACGTTCTGCCTTGCTTAATGATTTACCAGATCGATCCAAAATATTGCAACCTGAAAAAATGGTCGTATATAGAAAATGTCATCATGTTCCGCTGATAGACGTACCATTCATTCCAGGATCTGCCAAATCAAGTACTAGTTTGGCGACAGCATAGGACGGAAATCCAGTATATAATGATATTGATTCGTCATCATTCTCATACGTTTCTAATGATGGCGGTAATGTCTGCAATTTCAAGGATATTACCTCTGAACGGAGAAGCTGAATTTCATCGTCCTGTGACAAATCAGCGATGTTGGAACCGGTTGAGAATGTACGAGATCGACAACTCGATGCCGGGCTTTTTCCAAGTGATATTTCAGAATGTGAACGTGAAACTCGGCCAGAGCCATCTATATATATACATATAACAATGAGATTGTTTTACAGAAATCGTTTACAAAACGTTATATACCCGCTTTGCCCGAATGGATGGGTAAGGCATCGTTCACTAACAATGTCTTTTTGTCTAAGTATTTGATGTCATCTGCAGAGAAGTGTTCGCTACATACACGTTCTGATTTTGTGACACCAAGATCATCAACATTGATCGACAAAATTTCACACCATTTTTTTAATGTTACAGGATCAGTTGGCAGACGAAACAAAGCGACTTTGCGTCGACCTTTGCCAACATCACCGAACTTCTTTCGACAACCCGAGACTATACAACTAGTCATGATGCAAAAAGCAAAAAGAGTATTTTCGTTGTATTACGAGGAAAGCAGTGAATGAGAAAGAACTTATAAACACAAAACAGTGAATATAAATAGCTTTTCAAAAAGAGAAAATGAGAGATGAAGATATCACTAGACTAAACATCGTCTAGACGTCGTCTAGACATCGCCTATGGGGGCAAAAAAAGAGAGACACGTGTTCGTAAACCTATGGTATATGAAAACAATGAATTCTAGTACCTTCATTGAATGTTAGAAATATTTTGACTATTTAACTTTGATATTTTAATCGATTTCTAACTCATGAAGCCATACAACTTACAATAATGAAGTTTG